GTATACTCTGTGTTAGATTATAGCCCATAGAAATAAGAAGCATATTCTGAATGTTAACATTTTAATTGAAAATGCTTATTCGACTCCATTTCTCATTAGACATATTTAACTTAAAATACTTTTTAGAATGTCTGGTTCTGCATTTCTAAATGCAGTTAACATCAGATCGTCAAACTATATATATCTAAAATAATTCCAGTGACTTCAGCATTTTGAAGACTGCAATTAGCAGACACTGTGCTTTTCCTCACTGGTGTAGGATTTACTATTTTCTTTTTGATATAACAAGGGACTGCTATAAGCACGAGATCTTAAAGTGTACAAATAACAACCTTGAAAAGCTTAAGATGCTGATCATGCAAAAACCAGAGTTCAAATGGGACTGGGCATAAACTGCTGGTCCTGTGACTTCTGGGTGCTTTTGGTCGATGGGAAAGGTGCTTACATGAAAATAAAAGATCTGGGTAAGTTTGAAGATACCTGGCAGGGCTTCTTTGCCTTTTCTGGGGATTGAGAAGGTGTGTGGAACCAAATGATTATCTGGCACAGCTGCTGAAGAATATTAGAAAATATCACATACAAACCCACCCACCCTCTTTCAGCCAAGTTGTCTCTTGGACATGTCAACAGAACATCTCACTGTAACAGAATGGTTAAAAAAGAATTGCCCAGCTTACCAAACTTAAATATCCTTTTAGCTTTGAGACTCCTTAAAGGGAGTGAAAGGCGGGATATCAAATCCAAACTCTTCTTCTTCTTCTTCTAGTGCAAGTTAACATACACATGGGACGCGGTGACACTGTGGGTTAAACCACAGAGCCTAGGGCTTGCCGATCAGAAGGTCGGTGGTTCAAACCCCGCGACGGGGTGAGCTCCCGTTGCTCGGTCCCTGCTCCTGCCAACCTAGCAGTTCAAAAGCACGTCAAAGTGCAAGTAGATAAATAGGTACCGCTCCGTTTCTGTGCACTGCTCTGGTTCGCCAGAAGTGGCTTAGTCATGCTGGCCACATGACCCGGAAGCTGTATGCCGGGTCCCTCGGCCAATAAACTGAGATGAGCACCACAACCCCAGAGTCGGTCACGACTGGACCTAATGGTCAGGGGTTCCTTTACCTTTTAACATACTGTTAACGGAAATTCAAGGGTCCTCTTGGGCAAATGAAGACACCGACCAGAGCAAGTCAGAGCAAAACAGCAGCCAGTAGGCTCGGTCTTTATTTAGAAAGACTGTCGCGACAGGACTCCCACCGCCCACAAGGTGAAGCAAAATGGAAGCCCCGAACAAAGGGAGACCCCAACTTTTATTAGTTACTAATCCCCTAAGCTACACCCTCAGAATTACATCATATTTACATCATGATTATATTAAAAATAGGAGGAGCCGGGGAGGGGCTGCACAGGTAACCCGAGTGTCCTGACACCTGGCCGGAGCCTCCTTCCCCCTCCCCGCATGAGACATACAGGAGAACAAAGGGAAAAGGCGAAGTTTCCTGCCCCCCTGAGGGGAATCTGGTCACAGTCCTTTGTGAGAGTCCGCGCGGAATACACCAAGATATGCAGTTCATTGTGTCCTTGATAGCCTTCTGTCTGAGCCCATCACCGATGGCTATCAAGATGGTCACGTCTACTAGGAAGGAACACAGAGTACGTGACTGCTCGATCAAGGGATTATGGCCGCTTGATATAAGACCACCCCCCTTTGATAGTCTTTGTAATATCCAGCAGAATAAAAGTGGTCCGGTGAAAATCTGAAGTACGGCTGATTTTTAGTGAATTTATAAAGAGTATTGCCTTTGAAGTTCAAAGCACTTTCGCCTTCAGGAAGTGGCTTGCTACATTTTGATTAGATCAGTCACGGTCAATTTGACTCGGAAACTTTGTATTGAGAGCTGTCAAAGGTAAGGAGGAGGGCGGCAGTAGCCTGCAGTACCTGCGTGGCCGCCGCAAGGGGTGCTGTTTGATAATGCTGATTGGCTGAGGCGGCCGTCGATTGACAGCAGAACTCGGTCGGCCGGTCTACTCACAATACAGATAGGGCGAAGTGGAGCATTATAGCGGGAAGCTGTCAGGTCAGCGCTTCCTTATTTACGGAAGGCTTATAAGGGGTGGCCCTCTAAAGGGGCACCCCTGGCTTAGGAAGGGAGATGCGTGTATGTGTGAGTGTGGTGCTTGTGCAAACACGTGTTAGTGTGTGGGGGGGGGGCGATTTCCGGCGACAGTTCCCCCCTTCGGAGATATGATTGCGAAGGTAGGAAGCCTCGCAATCCTTCTCTCCGCATAAATCAATAAAAATCTGACATGTCGTACCTAGAGTCCTGGGTCTGGAGGTTCTTCAAGGGTCCCATTTCAATGGTTGACGGAATTCCTGGCGTCGGTGATCTGTAGGTGGTGGTCGATCGCGGGTGAAGGGTAGGAAGGCAAGAGCCGCAAGTTTGACAGCACATCGGGAAGCAATGGATTGAGCAGCAGAAGAAAGCAATGCAAATGGCGACAGTGATCAGTATTAAAAGGCCGTTTCCTAATAGTTGTTTTATCCAAGCGGACCCGGGTAGCCAGCTCCAGAAGTGTGCGTCTGAAAGGCCCTCATGCTGGATGTTTTGAAGCCGTTCCTTTAGTTTGTGGATGTTATTGAGATGACCAGTGATGTTCAAGGTCTGGTCCGAGACGTGTGTGCAGCACTCGGTTCCGACAAGAGCACATACGCCTCCAGTCGACGCAAGGACGTAGTCCAAAGCAAGGCGGTTCTGTATCGAATTTTGCCTGACCTCTGTCAGTTCCGTCAGAATAGATTGGGTGGCTGCATTTGATTCTTCCATAAAGTTCAGCAATATGTCTGTTAATTTGAGGATGTCGACATGGTTGGAGCCTGCTCCGTACGCAGGGAAAAGGGCTCGCCCGTAAGTTTCTCCATTTGCTTCCACATCGGAGAGGTCTGACAAGTCCTTTGCCCTCTTATTACGCATCCTTCCGGGGGGAAGGTTTTGGGTTACCCGGATCCCCGGAAGAATTAGTCCAAGGTAGCAGGTGCCCCGGGAGTGGGGGCTGGCCCACACATAGCCGCGGTGGCCGCAAATCCAGAACAACCCTTGCAGGCACGAGTTTATACGACCAGTGAGGAAGGTGCGGAAGAAACATTGGGAAGTTGGGGACGGGTCCCAGGGTTCGGGTAAGCCCATTATGCGCTTCCATGCAGACAGTAGGTTGGGATGGGAGGAGGGCTTGCCTTGGTGCCATAGGGTAATTTTGCCGGTCAAGGTAATATCAATGGTGTACTTACAGGTGCTCTCGCCGATGACTTTGTCAGTGCCGCTGAACTTCCGGCAAAGATCGCCTGTTGTAGGTCCAGTTAGGTAGATGTACTGGTGAGTGAAATTGACGGCAGTCAGGTTCCAGGACTGTACATCAGAGGAGAGATGTTGTTGAAGGGTAAGGGGCACCCCGAGGAAAGGTAGGCCGCTGTGGAGATGAGCAGGAGCATTGGCACAGATCCAGCATTCGTTGGTGGTTGTTTGCTTTGCGATCTGAGAGATTAGTTTCACATAGGTGTTGGAGTGCCATGTGGACAAAATGTCATTATTTGTGGGGGTTTCGGATATTGACAGTTCCCCCCTTTGTCGAGGTGCGGTGCCTGCGGGGTGCAGGGGATCCTGACGAAGTAGATAGGTGAGGTTTGTGGTGAGACCGCCGCAACGTTGAGGTCCGGTGGTGTCCCATTCTGTTGGGGTTGTAGCTGAATAATGCCAGCCTTCCAGATACGCCTTGCCGTCCCAGTTGGAGGCTAGTCCAATATCCCAAACGCAGCAGTATCTTCGGAGGCAGACTCCTTGTAAGACGGTTTGGCGGGGGGCGGAATCCACTCTTTGGCAGTAGAATCCGTGGATTAGGCGGTCTGTTGGGTGGTTCTGGTCAGTATAAAGTGACTCGCCACCACCATTGTCGAGGAGAGTCCAGTTAAGTGTTTGTTGTGGTGTACCATCAGAGAAGAGTACGTAGGAACCGTTGAGGCAATGTGCACGGTTCCAAGGGCCGTCTCTGGTGAGAATGAGTTTGCCGAGAGGCATGTAAGAGGGTGAGCGAATAAAAAGTTCCCATGCTTGGTGTGCTGCAAGGATCGGTGATATGGAGTGTCGAAGGAGGACGCGAGTCTCAGGCAAGCAGAAGTCGAAATCTCCAAGGCGGTCTAAAGTTCCTCTTTTTACCATATCAACTATTCCAAAGTCTAGATATTTGTATTCAGTTTGTAATCCAGGGCAAGAAGCATGTGTGGTCGTGGCGTTCTGAGCGAAAACGGCGGTGAGTATAAGGAGTAATAGGGTGGGTGTGGTGGTGGTCGGCATTGTCGCGGAGGCAGTCGAGCTGTCAAATGGGGAGCGGTGAAGCGGTGGAGCTGTCAAACTGCAGAGCTGTCAAATGGGGAGCGGTGAAGCGGTGGAGCTGTCAAACTGCAGAGCTGTCAAATGGGGAGCGGTGAAGCGGTGGAGCTGTCAAACTGCAGAGCTGTCAAATGGGGAGCGGTGAAGCGGTGGAGCTGTCAAACTGCAGAGCTGTCAAATGGGGAGCGGTGAAGCGGTGGAGCTGTCAAACTGCAGAGCTGTCAAATGGGGAGCGGTGAAGCGGTGGAGCTGTCAAACTGCAGAGCTGTCAAATGGGGAGCGGTGAAGCGGTGGAGCTGTCAAACTGCAGAGCTGTCAAATGGGGAGCGGTGAAGCGGTGGAGCTGTCAAACTGCAGAGCTGTCAAATGGGGAGCGGTGAAGCGGTGGAGCTGTCAAACTGCAGAGCTGTCAAATGGGGAGCGGTGAAGCGGTGGAGCTGTCAAACTGCAGAGCTGTCAAATGGGGAGCGGTGAAGCGGTGGAGCTGTCAAACTGCAGAGCTGTCAAATGGGGAGCGGTGAAGCGGTGGAGCTGTCAAACTGCAGAGCTGTCAAATGGGGAGCGGTGAAGCGGTGGAGCTGTCAAACTGCAGAGCTGTCAAATGGGGAGCGGTGAAGCGGTGGAGCTGTCAAACTGCGGGTGTTTTACGGAGTTTGAGGCGAATTGGGGGTTGGTCGTCGCGGCTGGGTGTTGGGATGATCTCGGAGGTCCAATGGGTTGATGACGACGGTTGGTCGGGTCCGGTCTGTTGGGCCCGATATGTGCCCCGAGCTGGTCCGGTCTGTAGGGCTCGATTCGTGCCCCGATCTGGTCCGGTCTGTAGGGCTCGATTCGTGCCCCGATCTGGTCCGGTCTGTAGGGCTCGATTCGTGCCCCGATCTGGTCCGGTCTGTAGGGCGTCCTCTGTATCGGAGTCGTCGTCTGGCGGCCGGCGTGGGGTGTAATATGGTGAGTCGTCTGAGACAGGTTCTGGTGCTGATGCGGGTTTGCAGCGGGTGTGATGTAACCAGGCTGTCTTTTCTGCTACCTTAACGGAAGTTGGAGTGGTTAAAAGTACTTGGTAGGGACCCTCCCAGGTGGGCTGTAGGGGTATCTTATGATAGGTTTTCGCTAGTATCCAGTCACCTGGTTGGTAAGGGTGGACGTTTTCGTCGAGAGGGATGTTTTGGCTTGAAGCAGCGTATTTGTGGAGAAGAATTAGTTGTCTCTGGAGCTGTATTACATATTTTGTTAATTCTGACTCGCCCACCTCTAGCTCAGATGTTGGGTATTGGGTATTATACACTGGAGAGGGTCGCCCAAACAGTAATTCATAGGGAGACAGTTTGAGGTTGCCGCGGGGGCATGCTCTAAGATTATGGAGGACTAATGGAAGGGCATTAACCCATTTGATGTCAGAGTCTTTACAAAGTTTCCCGAGTTGTGATTTGAGTTGTTGGTTCATTCTCTCAACCTGTCCTGAGGAAGGGGGGTGGTACGGGGTATGTAGTTTCCATTTAATGCCAAGGGTAGTGGCTACTTGTTGTATTACATCTGAGGTGAAATGTGAGCCTCTGTCGCTGTCTATGTGTCGAGGGATTCCGAAGCGGGGTATAATCTCTTGTAATAGGATCTTTGCAACGATGTGTGCGGTCGCTTTACGTGTTGGGAAGCATTCCACCCACCCGGTCAGCTGGTCAATAATCACTAGGGCATGCTTATAACCTTGGCAGGGTGGTAGATCTATGAAATCTATCTGAAGACTTTCGAATGGAACGAAAGCCCATGGCCTGGCCCCTGGTGGGCACCTGGCGGTGTGTTTTGGATTGAAACTTTGACAAGTATGACAGTTCTTAACGGCGGTCTTAGCGGCTAGAGCAAGGCCTGGGGCATACCAGCAACGTTGAATTGTGTCGATTAGTTTGTCTCTCCCCCAATGAGTACATTGGTGTAGGACTCTCAGATGCTTGGGTACCCAAAGCCTAGGCATTATGAGTCGTTTGTCTGGAAAATACCAAACGCCATTGTCTAATTGAGCCCCTTGTTCCTCCCATCCTTTTATCTCTTCCGGGGTCGCTGTTTTATACATCTCTGTGAAATCTACATCTGATATGATCTGTGGCCCTTGGAATTCGCTGTCTGCGGGGAGGGGCTGAAGGGCTGCCTCTTGAGCCGCGCGGTCAGCCCGTCGGTTCCCTACTGAGACTGCGTCCCTTCCTTTCGTATGTGCTTTACAATGCACTACGGCAATGGCTTCTGGAAGGTGTATAGAGTCCATGAGGCGCTGTACTAGGGGAGCGTGTGCTACCTGGGTACCTGCAGCTGTCAAGAAACCCCTCTGTAACCAGATTTGTCCGGTAGCATGCACTAACCCGAAGCAATATTTAGAGTCCGTATAGATAGTGACTTTCCGTCCCGCCCCTAGTTCACAGGCTCTTATGAGGGCGATGAGTTCTGCCGCTTGTGCACTGTATTTTGGGTGGACGGGTCGTGCCTCTAAGGTCTCGGCATCGGAAACTATGGCGTATCCGCTTTTACGCTCCCCTTCCACAACTTTAGAACTCCCATCAGTATACAGGATTAGGTCCGGGTCCACTAAAGGTAGGTAGTCAAGGTCCTCGCGTGGTTTTTCTACATGGCGGACTATTTGAGAGCAGTCATGATGTGGGGTGCCGTCTTCGGGGAGGGGTAGGAGCGTTGCAGGATTAAGCGAGTTCACCCGTCTTATGGTTACGTTTGATGGGCTTAGGAGAATGGCCTCATATCTGTTTAAGCGTTGTATTGTGAACCGTTGGCACCCTTGCAAGCTAAGAAGGGTAGCGACAGCGTGGGGGACGTTAACGGTTAGGTCGTGTCCCAAGACAGTTTCTTGCGCCTTCTCTAGAAGGAGGGCTGCCGCCGCTACAGCCCTGAGGCACCCCACATTCCCGAGTACGGTAGTGTCCAGCTGAAGGCTGTAATAGGCGATAGGCCTATTTTTCCCTTGAAATGGCTGAGTGAGGACGCCAGAAGCTACTCCTTTGTTTTCGTGTACGTATAGAGAAAAGGGTAGCCTATAGTCTGGAAGTCCGAGGGCGGGTGAAGTCCTTAACTCTCTCTTAATAGATTCGAAGGCTTCCAGCGCCTCTGCAGACCATTGCAATTGGTCAGGGGCCTTGTCGTGAGTCATAGCTGTGAGGGGACGGGTGAATTCCCCGTAGCGCGGGATCCAGGCTCGGCAGAATCCACTCATTCCGATGAAGCCACGGAGCTGTCTTTTAGTTTTTGGTAGGGGCAATTTAGTTATTGCTTCTATCCGGTCTGTGGTTAGTGCGCGGGTGCCTTTTCCTAAGATGTGCCCAAGATATTTAACTTCCTGTCTGCAATATTGGATCTTTTTTGGAGATACTTTATGTCCCTTTTGTGCTAGAATGTTTAGGAGGGCTATAGTGTCCTCTTTGCAGGATTCTTGGTCCCTCGCACAAAGTAAGATGTCGTCAACGTAAAGTCTTAGGGCTGAGCCCCTTGGCAGATCCACGTCTGATAGATCCTGGTGTAGTATAGATGAGAAAATGGCAGGGGATTCTACATATCCTTGGGGCAATCGGGTCCACGTTAATTGCCCCGTCTGCCAAGTGAAAGCGAAAAGGAATTGGCTTTCTGGGTCTACAGGGATGCTGAAGAAAGCGGAGCATAAATCTATAACTGAGTAGACTACAGTTCCTTCCGGTATAGTGCTCAGGAGGTGGTGAGGGTTGGCAACCACCGCGTGTCTGGGGATGACAAAGGAGTTAACGAGCCTGAGATCTTGGACCAGGCGCCATTTCACGGGGTTTGTATTGGGCTTTTTGACAGGAAGAAGAGGGGTATTGCATGGAGAGGCACACGGGACTAAGACTCCCATTCTCAGGAATTCATCTATCATCGGGGTCAGTCCGTCTATTGCGTCCGGAGGAAGGGGGTATTGCTTTGTGCAGGGGAAAGGTAGGTCCCTTTTGTAGTTGATTTTTACTGGCGTTGCGGACTTCAAGAGCCCCACGGAAGTAGACTCAGTCCCCCATAGGGAAGGGGAAACACTATTAAGTAATTCCGACGGGAGATCGATGACAGTATTATGGGCTTCTTGCAAGACTCCTTGAAATCTAAAGATGGATTCGTCTGGCATATGCAAATAAATTCCTTCTTGGCCACATTGTATGGTTGCATTCAATTTACAAAGCAGATCCCTCCCTAGGAGGTTTACAGGACTAGATGTCAATAGAAAGGTATGTTTGACGGATAGAGGTCCAACCGAGACCTTTGCTGGTTTGGAGAGAGGGCAGTTTCGAGGAATCCCATCCAGTCCCATTACGGTTCTGGTTTCTTCCCCGGGGTTCAAATGGCTGTTAGTAAGAGTTGAATAGGTGGCTCCCGTATCCAGAAGGCAATCGTAGGACTGCCCGTCGATTTGCATTGTGCAAATCGGATCGGAGGGTGATAGTTGCAAGACAGGACAAAGAAAAGAGAAGGAGGCGGGATCTGCTTCTGGTTGTCAATGTTGTGGGTATTCGTCCATTATCATTTCATGAGCTGGGGTTGCAGCGTGGGTGATCGGGTTAAAGGGGTTTAGACGGTCTTGAGTGGGGTTTCTGGGTTTTGGTTGTGGGGGAAGACCTGCACGGTATGGCGCTTGAGTTGTGGGTCCGTACGAGGGGTTAGGTTCCCTGGGTTTAGTTTGAGCAGATTCCCGATAATCCGGCCTGTATGGGTTTAAGTCTCTGAATTCGGATCTTACATTTTCAGTCAGGAGGGGGCAGAATCTCTTTATGTGCCCCACCCCTTCACAGTGGTAGCAAATGCGCGGGTCTCGGTAGTCGGGCCCCCTTGGTTTGCCCTTGTCCTTGTAAGGGGGGGCTGCTCCCGCATAGGCTAAAACCCGAGGAGAATCGGGTTTTTGGTCTTTCTTTCTCCGTTCGTCTCTTGAATTAAAGACTGACTTAGCAATGGAAAGAATTTCTGTTATACTCTTTCCGTCGTACCCGAGGTGTGCATTTAGAGCTTTCCTGATATCGGCTGACGCTTGATCCTTAAAGAAGCCTTTAATTATTACTTCATGCTGTGGACTCTCTGGGTCTATTCCGCCCCAGGTTTTAATGGCAGAAACTAGGCGGGAGTAGTAGTCGGATGGGTGTTCTTCAGGTCCTTGAAGGACAGCTTGGACTTTTGTCCAGTTTACAGTTCGCTGACCAGCAGCCTTGATTCCATCTAGGATGGCCTTTTTGAAAATCTTTAAGCCCCATACCCCGTCCGTTGTATTATAATCCCAGTCCGGGTCGTTAAGGATCGTCTGAGTAGTTAGAGGGGCCATAGATGCCGGTCGATTCGGTTGGTAGCCCTCTCGAGTCAGGGCTTCCCCTGCCTTGGCTAAGATTTCCCTTTTCTCCGCCTCATTAAAGAGAGCCCCCAGGAGCATGTGTACATCTGCCCACGTGGGGTTGTGGGTTGAGAAAATGGTGGCCACCTGGCGGTGACATTTGTCGGGGTCATCCCGCAAGGACGGCATTTTGTCGGACCAATTCATTAAATCCGACGTAAGGAAGGGTTGGTGTGTGAAGACCATACGGGGTGGACCTCCTGCCCTTTCCGGAGGTATGGGTAGCGCTCGCAGGGGGAAAGCACCCTCTACTTCTCCATTTGGCAGATTATCTTTGTTTCGGGTTCTACTGGCGACGGGCCCCTCTCTTTCCCCGTTTAGAAGTTGTCCATTAATTAAAGGTCCCACGTCTAGATTCGCCTGGTCTTCGGTTAAGTTGGGCATACTTGGAAGGGGCTTAGACGGCTGGGTAACTATCGGCTGTGTATCCGATGCATTCGAAGAAGGGGCCGGGATGGCGTTCGCGGTGTCTTGCCTGGGTCCCGCGCCCCCCCCTCCAGCCCCTGCCCCAGGTCCCGGTGAAGGGGGGGCTCGTGGTTCTGGGTAGTAGAAAGGGACGAGGGTCCTATCCAGTTGTTCCTCTTGAGCCCTGATCTCGTCATATGGAGGGGGTCTATTTGGTTTTAAGACAGCCATCTGCCGGGCTATTCTAGCTTGTTGTTGTTGGAATAATTCACGGGCTTCGGCAAAGGCATTCAGATAATAAAGTTGGTGGGGCTTCTCATCGGCTAGATAAGACTTAAGTGCCTCCATTCTTGTGACGTTAAAAGAGCCGTGAGGTGGCCATCTCTGGGCCGGGTCTAGATGGTGAGTAAAGGCGACCCACGAGGTATTGCAGAGGTCTCTCAGCTTAGACTTGGAGAGTCCCTTCCTCCCTCTCAATTCCTTCCAGCTATGAAGAATGAACTGCAGAGGGGTATCGGAGTCCTCTCCGGGGCGGGAAAGCTTCATGGAAGCTTTATCGCCAGGAGGAGTCCAATCAGAGTGTCGGGAAGCGTGGGCTCCCATTACTCTGTGAATTTAAGGGGTGGTTCGCAAGCGATGTGCACTAGAGTGTAAAGATGGGGCGGACAAAGAGAAAGAGACAAGGAATACGATACAAAAAGAAGGGGGGGTAGAGAAAAATAGTATTCTTTCAGTAATTTTTTTTTTTTTTAAGGTACCTCTGTTTATCTCTATTTTCCCTTTTCTTTAACGTAGCTTTGCCTACCACTGAACTATGTTCAGTTTATCCCCAAACATCTGCCTCAAACCTACGGGTCTCTCTTTTCACCCGATACACAACCACGGATCCTGGTATTCTACTGCAGTACTACTCACGCAACTGGTCCTAGTGTGGGGCCCCACTTCGTGAACCGCCCCTTCTACCCTCCACGACAGCCTCCTGCCTAGCCTTTGAGACTAAGTTCGGAACTCTCTACTGGACGCTTGCGCAATGCAATGCCAGATCAAGGTCCGAGAAAATGAAAGTTTAGAAAGGAAACAAACGACCTTGCGTTCTCACATACCCGGGTCATCCCTAACAAAGGTCGCCGGGCAGGAGGGGCGGCTTCGTTTGCATAATCAGAAGAGAGTGAGAGTGAAAATACTTTGAAGGACGCCTCTGGACGACTCCGAAAGAGGGACGTCAGAGAAAACAGTAAAAGAGCCACGCTTTCCCGGACTCAATTCCAAGACGGAAAACGGGGGAGAAAAGGGATAGAGAGATCAAGGCGCTCCTGGACGACTCCGAAAGGTAACGCCGGAAAACAGCAAAGGTACCACAATTTCCCCGGCCCAACACCGCGTAAGAATTTGTGGGGAGAGAAAGGGAAACGTCGGAAACGAAGAAAGGAAAGTCTGGCTGTCGTGGGGACATTTAACTCTCCACCCCCCTCCCAATGTGTTTTACTTCAAACCATACTCACGTTCGAAGGTGTCCCCCGCAGATCCCGGGATCCTTTCCTTTAGCCGGCTTTACCTCGCCTTTGCTCCCTCTGGGCTTCTGGTGACGGTTGATTACCGCCCGCAAAGAGGAGGCAGGGAGAGGAAGAAGGATCCCCGGGCTAAGGTTGCCCAGTGGCGCCCGATCCCTTCTATCTCCCCTCTCACCTTTACAGGAGAACCAAGTGTCCCTGAGTCGCGGTCGCCAACTGTTAACGGAAATTCAAGGGTCCTCTTGGGCAAATGAAGACACCGACCAGAGCAAGTCAGAGCAAAACAGCAGCCAGTAGGCTCGGTCTTTATTTAGAAAGACTGTCGCGACAGGACTCCCACCGCCCACAAGGTGAAGCAAAATGGAAGCCCCGAACAAAGGGAGACCCCAACTTTTATTAGTTACTAATCCCCTAAGCTACACCCTCAGAATTACATCATATTTACATCATGATTATATTAAAAATAGGAGGAGCCGGGGAGGGGCTGCACAGGTAACCCGAGTGTCCTGACACCTGGCCGGAGCCTCCTTCCCCCTCCCCGCATGAGACATACAGGAGAACAAAGGAAAAAGGCGAAGTTTCCTGCCCCCCTGAGGGGAATCTGGTCACAGTCCTTTGTGAGAGTCCGCGCGGAATACACCAAGATATGCAGTTCATTGTGTCCTTGATAGCCTTCTGTCTGAGCCCATCACCGATGGCTATCAAGATGGTCACGTCTACTAGGAAGGAACACAGAGTACGTGACTGCTCGATCAAGGGATTATGGCCGCTTGATATAAGACCACCCCCCTTTGATAGTCTTTGTAATATCCAGCAGAATAAAAGTGGTCCGGTGAAAATCTGAAGTACGGCTGATTTTTAGTGAATTTATAAAGAGTATTGCCTTTGAAGTTCAAAGCACTTTCGCCTTCAGGAAGTGGCTTGCTACATTTTGATTAGATCAGTCACGGTCAATTTGACTCGGAAACTTTGTATTGAGAGCTGTCAAAGGTAAGGAGGAGGGCGGCAGTAGCCTGCAGTACCTGCGTGGCCGCCGCAAGGGGTGCTGTTTGATAATGCTGATTGGCTGAGGCGGCCATCGATTGACAGCAGAACTCGGTCGGCCGGTCTACTCACAATACAGATAGGGCGAAGTGGAGCATTGTAGCGGGAAGCTGTCAGGTCAGCGCTTCCTTATTTACGGAAGGCTTATAAGGGGTGGCCCTCTAAAGGGGCACCCCTGGCTTAGGAAGGGAGATGCGTGTATGTGTGAGTGTGGTGCTTGTGCAAACACGTGTTAGTGTGTGTGTGTGGGGGGCGATTTCCGGCGACACATACACTTATTAAATATAAACAAGGAAAAAGGGTATTTAAAAACCATTGGAACAGGGACCCACACTGGCTTGCACCATCTTCAAACTTTTGGCGAGGCTATAAAACTGACGCTTTGCAGACTGTTAAAGTGAGAGAGGAAGAATTAATAAATCTTTTGAAAATAATTGCTGTCCAAGAAGTGGCAGTGGATAACAGCTTTACAACCATCAAAGTCTACAGCATTATTTATTCATGTGCCCGTTTCATAATTAAATGTTATGTCCCAATCTGTAACCACTGCACTCAAGCCCCGAGCTCCAGATAAATCAATAGGATTTATTGAAATGGAGCAGTTTGAGGATGGTAGCCAAGGAGTGTGCCTGACCTTACATGCTCACATCTCAATCCCAAACACATTTAGTTCAAAGAAAATCACATTGATTTAAATTGTACTAGATAAGGGTCCTTGAAGATTCCAGCCTTTGGTTGGTTCATTTACATTTATTTAAACTCAGGCCTTTGTTAATGACCACTGTATCTGAATCCGCCATTCTAAATCTGGTGGGGTCATATACTTAGCTTGGTGATAGAGTAAAGCAAACTGATCTAAGCTTAACCGAGGAAATATAACCATGCCCGAGTTCTTAAAGCAGGACTAGGGAAGCTGTGGCACCACCAGGGTCTGTTGGACTACAACTCCCATCATATGCAGCCATTGGCCATGCTGGCTGGGGCTGATGGGAGCTGCAGTCTGAGAACTTCAGGACAGTCACAGGTTCTCAACCCCTACTCTTAGTGAGCCACTGCCACTAACCTTCTGATCAGCAAGGC